GGGGGGGGGGGGGGGGTGGGGGTGGGGGGGGGGGGGAGGGGGTAGGGTGAGAAGAATATGACCTATTCCTGGCTTCTGGGAGTGCTGGGAAATTCTACTTTCATGGGATGTGAGAAAACTTGATGAAATGGAGATAAAGGAGAATTTATGTTGGCTACTCACTTAAGAAACCATGGGAACAAGGTGGTGTTAGGTTTAGGAGGTGCACAAGGATCAATGCATGAGGGGTCTATCTAATGTGAGTTTTTGGGGAGAAAATGGAAGTGCTTTGATGGAGTAGGAGATCCCATGGGTGACAGGTGGCCCACTTTAATACTACAAGGTTTCACGAGAAGAGGTAAGGATGTAAGACGGTGTCTAGGATCATGGAGTAGTTCACGAAGTTTATTGATAAGCATCTACCCTATTGACCTTTCTTTAACATGAGCTAAATTCACTTGGACCAAGGCAGAAAAGTAAACATTGAGATCAAGACTTGGTAGATTTTTGGTGTCCACCAACTAGGAGATGGATCTCGATGTGTTACAAACTATGTTGCTTGGACTCTTCAAAAATATTGATGGGTGTGTGTCAAATTCTCCAAAAGTAGTGCATCTTTTAAAGAATCTGACACAAGTGCAACAACATTTTTGGAGAGTCCGAGCAACACTGGTTACAAATTCCCTTATGGGTTGTGACCTTGGGCCATTCATTGATCATGCTAGATGAAAGGCGAGAAGAGACATGAGAGCCCTTTACAAGTTCGAGAATATGTGGCTGAAAGCAACTGACTTCAAAGATGAGTGGCAGAACAGTGGAATAGCTAAAAAGTGACGGGCAACTTGTCATTTAACTCGCAAAGAAGTTGAAGATGACTTAATGAGATATACAAGTGCAAAATAGAAAGATTTTTAAGAGGGTACAGATGAAAGTGTAACACCTCGGAACTTGGAACTAAGGGAGAAAATAATTTTGGGCTGAGGTCTGTGTCTACGGGACTTAGATAGAGATCGCAGGAAGTGGGGAAATAATTTTCTAAAATCAAGTCTCAAAAACCTTTTTACGGTTCACCAGGACAGTCCGTCAACCTATGTACGAGTAGGTCTCGTAGGTCACTACTAGACTTAGTGAAATTTTAAGGGGTAAAGTTGGTTTCTACGGTTGGCATGTACGGACTGTAGGAAGACCTACGAGTCGTACATGGGTTCCGTCAAAAGTTGGTCCAAATAATAATTTCTGAATCTTTCTACGATTGACCAGTACGGTCCGTAGAAAGACATACAGATCCAAACTGTAGGTCAAATCTGGCTATTTTAAAGGGCTTTTGGGTCTTTTCCTAATTATTTTAACCCAATACTATGTCGTTTTGCCATCTACCCTTGGCCCTATATAAACGTTTTGAACCCCCAAATTACCCATTCACAACTCATTCTCCTAAATTCCCAAAACTTGACCAAATTCATCCTCCCAAATTCTCTCAAGTCTAAGGAAGAAGAAAAAGAGCTAGGGTTCCATTTAAGTCTCCAAATTCTCCATTTTTCTTGGGCTTAAAGGATCAAGGTATGTGTGTACTCACCCATGGAGTCCTGGGGTCCAAAGATTTCAATTTTCAATTGATCAAATTAGGGTTTCAATTCAATGAATGTGGGTTTCATCTAATTATGATTGATTATGGTTAATTAAGTCTTCTAATGCATGAATTGATGTTAATACATGATATTTAGTTGAAATTTGCATTGACCCATGCCTAAATTATGTTTTCCAACTATGATCCTTTCCAACAATGATCCTTGATGAACCTATGAATCCATGAATTATGAAATGATGAAGATATGCATGTTTTTATGAAATGATTATAAATGATTTGGGGATGCTTTGAAAGAAAAGTATCAATGCTATTGTGAAAGGATTTCTCACTTACTATGATGATCATGATTATGAAAGGTATTTCTCACAAATGAATTCACATTGGTGAAAGGTTTTCTCATCCATGTCGAATTATGTTTAAGGATCTATTCTATGTTTTGATCTTGAAATCTGTGGATTGGTATTGATCATTGTCTTTCCCTATGTTAAATTGATATTTGACTTTTATCAATTTCGTTAGAATTTAGACTTGGAACCGAGAGGGCTTTGAGGTGGAGATTCAAATAGGGTCTCTAGTAGTAACCTCTAGTCCCAAACTACGTGCTCCCGTAGGATTGTCTTAAATGACCTAGCTAGTGGATCCACTTTAGTAAATGATGATATGTACAGATTCTACCTTAGCAAGTAGTTTCCCCTTCTTTCGATATGAGGGATATACCGAATTCTATGATATAGCTCTTATGGTCTTATTGTCGGTTAAAGTTAATATCCCACAAAATGATTATGTTTTCTATGAAGCTTTTCTTATGTCCTTTATGTTAATGTACATGACCGTGTTTTCATGATTTCCATGGTATTTCTTCTTTAAAGCTTTTAAATGTTTCATTATGATCATGCCTACACGTTTTAAGTCATTTATGCTATCATGCCTATGTTTATGCATATTGCCTCATACTTGGTACATTCCATGTACTAATGCATACTTGTGCCTACATTATCCAATGAATGTAGGGTCCGACGCTCCTACCTCTCATACTCGTAGCTAGTCGGTTCTATAGACTTTGAAGATTGGTGAGTCCTCAGGTTCCGAGGACCGAGACTCCTTTTATTGCTTTATGTCATTTCCATTTAAAAACTTTGTATGTGATGTATGGGTTACGTCCCAATCACGTTCCTTACGATAAATTAGATGGCTTTGAGACTTATGTTAGACTTTCGTTTTTGTCCAACTCTTTTGAATGAAATGTTATCTTTTGAACTCTTTACTTTTATTTTCTTGTATGATGTATGCTAAGTGGCTTGTGTAGGGCCTCTCGAGGTCCCATACGCCATGTTACACCTAGGGTATACTTTGGGTCGTGACATAAAGTGAGGAAGATAATTAATGAATGGAAAGAAGAAGAGAGGGCGAAAGAGGTGAAAGATTTAGAGGAAAGGGAAGAAAAGAGGAAGGAGGAGTTGAAGAGTTAGCTAGCCAAAGAGACTAGTTAAGACAAAATCATGGGTTTGTGCTTGGTGAAGAGGGATTGACACAAAATTCTTTCACATGGTAGTCATAGCAAATAGCAGGAGAAATACTATTGAGTGAGTCAATAACAGTGAGGTAGTCTTTGAGAGGGAGGAAGAGGTAAAAGAAGTCATAGTGAGCTTTTATGAGCATTTATTTAAAGAGGAGATGGGTTGGAGGTCAAATGAGGAGACAATTTGATCATATAAGGAAAGATAAGTGGGAGTCATTCGAGAGGGTGATTGGAGAAGAGGAAGTGAGAGAGCATGTGGAGTAGAGCTGTCAATATAGACAAGCCCAGCGCAGCCCCACCTAGAACAGCTCACATGGGCTTTGAAATTTGAAAAGTTGGGTTGGGTTGGCCCACCACTTTGATGGCCCTTAAAATGGCTAGCCAATCTCAAGCTCATGTCAGTTATCAGTATTGGGAAGGCTTCAAAGGAATTTATATGGGACTCGATAGATAGCGCTAGGAACTTTTACTTAGTTTGTAGGAAGATTGTCACGAGCCCAACAAGTCAAGCGGTCTTGGGATGAAATATCTTCAGGTTCTTACCAAAACCTTTAGGAAATATCTATGCAGATATAAGATGAGGACAAAAAACATCACTTCCTTTCAAGTGCGGCATGTAAGGGATATTTTCAAGGGCAGGAAATAGTCTAATGATGATTACTTTTAGGGTTGAGGAAGGGAGCACGACCACTTCTTTAAATTTGGGGGGGGGGGGGGTGGGTGGGGTTAGGA